TAAGAATGGAAAAAGTAGCAAGTGGTGGCCTCTGAATAATGGTATTTAGAGAGACTTTCACCTGTATACACTCCTCTGTCACTTGAAAAAAAAAGCATACACGTGAATGCATTATTACTATGATAAAGACAACTATCTTAGTCCCTTTTCTGTCACTAATAACAGAATACCTGAAACTGGGTAATTTATCAAGAAAAGAAATTTATTTCATACAGTTCTAGAGGCTGGGAAGTTCAAGGGTGTGGCTCAGCATCTGGTGAGGGCCTTTTTCCTGGGGAGGACTCTGAGAGTCCCGAGGGAGTGAAGGGCATCACGGGGTGAGAGGACTGTGCTGGCTCAGGTTTCCCTTACTCCTCTTATAAAGCCATCAGTTCAACTCTTAGGATAATTCATTAATCATCCATTATCCATAAATGCATTAGTCCATTCATGGGGGGACAGCTTTCATGATCTAAAGGCCTCAACTCTTAAAGGTTCCACCTCTCTCTCAATACTGTCACACTGGGGATTAAGTTTCAACATGACTTTTTTGGAGGTGACGTTCAAACCACAGAAAAATCATACAAAAACAAAAGTTGGGTCAAATTATGATGAGCATTAAGTGACCTGATGATATACTTTATTCTTTAGTCGTAAAGCCCCACAAAGCAAGCTCACAGGCATGACATTGTCAATTAAAGGTGCAGAATAGTAATTACTTACAGGAAGGTGGACCAGATGGAATGGGATGGGAGCAGCTGATATGTGAGTGGAAATAAGAGAGATGCCAAGAAATGTCTCAGAGGGGGATTGTGTCTCACATGGTTCTAGTCTCTGATTTGCCCGCAGTCTCTGTAAAGGAAATCAAAGGAGCTGTACAGCATCTTTATAAGCTTCACTTGGTCACCAGTTTTCACTGCGGCACCTGTAGGCATCTCCTGATTTAGAGGATAGAGAAGGGTCCTCTAGCATCATTCAGCCCCAGAAAGGCTCTTCCTTTCAGTACGGGGCAAATCATCAACTCTGGACAGAAGAATAGAGAAAAGGTAAGAGAATATAACAAGAATTGTCTGATTTCCAATTATGGTGTTTGCTCAAAGTTTATATCTCTGTGCTTCTACCTTGTGGTGCTACAAGCAGGGGGGTCATGGCGTTTCCTTTAAGAAAAGGCAGGAGACATGAAGCTTCCTCATGGAAACCGGGTGCTGGTAGCCCTGACTGTGCGAGTTTCAAATGAGGACAAACAGACCTTTCTCCCTTCTGATCCATTTCCCCATAAACTCCCCTTTATTGCAACTATTCAATCTGCTGTCATGGAAAGAATGCTGGATCTCACATTTATGTAAGGAGCCAGTGGCATGCAGGCACTGCTTCCCAGAACTGAACTTCTGTAAACCCAAATTTCACTGTTAATTTCTTTTCAAAGTTAGTCTCCTTTGTGTATCTGAAAAGGTCACAGAAAAAAAAAAGCAGATGGTCCAAACTGGAATAATTGAGAAGTGCTCCTGAGGGGATTGTTTACAAAGATGCACAGGGTTAAGGGAAAGTGACAAATAATAGTGAAGCACTATGTTCTCCCCTAGGCTGAGGAATAAGGGAAGGAGAAGTCGCCAGAGAGAGGGTAGCCATAGCTGTAGCAGTAGGAGAAGAGGACTAGGCAGGTGGAGCAGCACTGCCATTGCCAACACACGACCTCACAGACAGAAAGCCAGGAGGTGAAAAGCCCAAATCACTCTCCTCCTGCCCTACAGTCTCCTGGCTGTGTCTCCCACTGGCTCAATTCAACCAGAAACCAGAAGGAAAAGGATCCCAGTGCCGAGGTACATAGAAGCCTCCCACTTAGGATGCCAAACAGGGTAGAGAAAGGTGGAAAAAAGAAAATCCTCATGGCAAATAGAGACTGTCCTTCACACCTCCTGATGGCCTCCTCCTTTTGGGGATTTCTCTATCTAAATGTCATTACATTATATTTTATCTCATCTCCATCAGAGTTTTTTTTTTTTACTTGTTCTTTCTCTGGTGGCACTTTTATGAAAGGATTACCCGTATTCGCCAAAAATGCATCAATAATGTTATGTCATTTAAAAGGAGAAAACATATTCCTTATTGGTTAGAGTATGAGGGTACTTCAAAAAGTTCATGGAAAAATAGAATTAAAAGATAATACAAATCTTTACATGAACTTTTAGAGGGACCTACCTTTGTAAAAGTTTGGCTGCTCTAACAAAGACCCAGAATAATAATGACTTAAACAAGAAAGTTTATTAGACCTGGGTTATAGGCCCCAAAGCATTGGATGCTGGGACTTTTTCCAAATTTCTGCTCCCCAAACCCTAGAGCAGTGCTCTTGTCCTCGTGGTCCTGCATGCTCCAGACACATCATCACTATAGGCTATGGCGAGAGGAAGAGGAAAAGCGGAGACTACACCCCTTCTATTAATCTCATGGCCCAGGAGTTGGCTACATCACTTCTGCTCACCTCCCACTGGCCAGCGCCTAGCCACATGGTGCCATCAGCATCAAGGCAGGCTGGGAACTAGAATCCTTTTGATGAATTAAAACTCCCAGAATCGTTATGTGACAAAAGAAGAAAATGGATGTTGGGAGAAACTAGCAGTTTCTATAGCCCCTGATTGTGTCTCAGATTCCATGCTTACATGAAGATTTTTCAGGACCTCCTCAGAAATAACCAATGATGGGACAGAGAACAGTGCGAAAGCCTCACAGATCTCCAGGGAACCAGGGGCTGGTACTGGGCCTGCTGTTCATGGAGTTATCTCAGGAAAATCCCTTTGACTCCTTAAGCGTCTTCTTGTGTTAAGTGAGGATATTACAATAGATGGCCTTTAAGGAACATGTGCTAAGTGCTGGGGATACAATGGTGAACAAAAATGGGCATGACTTAGTCCTTACAGAGCTTCATATTTGATGGGGAAGACAAATATCCCACACCCTAATACTAGATTTATGAACTTTTAAGTGTCCTGAGTGGGGATAACGGAGGTTCTGGATTTCCTCCCATTTCCTTGTCTGGCCAGTCAAGACTGTGGGAGTTTGTCTAAGACAGCCATGATGGATGTATTCACTTATGGATGCCTCTCTGTACCCCACAAGGTAGATGTGTCCTCTTTCCAAGTGGGGGCTTCCTTCCCAGGTGAGTCCTCTGAGTTTCTGAGAGATGGCTGCCTTTGTAGGGCAGAAAGGGATCCTGAATTCTGCTATCTGTTACTAATTGACTTCCACCCATTTCTTTTTTGTTCCCTATTTGATTGGCTTCTCTTCCCCTCTTCTTATGGAGTTTGCTTATGATAGATTTTTGGGGATACACAATTTTGATTGCCATCACGGATTTAACATGGGAATTACTCCTCTGCTTTTCTCTCCATCCGCATGTAACACAGTTGTTTTATGTCCAATGATCTGGTCAAAAGGGTGGACCTGTAGGTATCCTGCTGGGTTCAAAACCACACTGTGTGAGATCAGGGGCTAATCACTCGACCATTTTGCACTTCAATTCTATTCTCTGTAAAATGGGAATAATACTAATTCTTACCTCATAAGCTCTTGAGAGTATTAAAGAGACAACACTTAATAAATTCTCACTCAGCTGCTATTATTCACCCATATGTGAGCTAGTCCTTTTTCTCCAGTTGAAATCTACATGAGCATTTCTCTTTATATGCCAAGCCCCGCACTTTTTCTATTTCCCCTCATAGATTCCTCTCACATAAAAGCTTTCATCAGCACAGGAAACTCTACTAAAGATCTCCTGGGAGAAAGAATGAAGTAGATTCATAGTGTACACCACACAGCACATCACTTAAGTCCTCCATAGATATTCCTATACTTCAGATATCTCTTTCAGTGGCACTCAGACCTCACCCTCACTTGCTCCTTCTTCCTCTATATTGCTGATCAATCCAGCTCAGACCCAAATCCTACTCCCACATTGTGTACCAAAATACTTCTAGGTGCTCAGCAAAACCATATGGAGTCCTCACTTCAAAGGCATACCAGTGGTCAACTTCATTTCGAGGTAAACATAAGTAATTTTCTAAACACACACAGAGCTGTCCACAAAAAGAATTACGATGAATAAAATTTTCTTCCTCCACACCCAAGAGACAACAGATCTGCTGGCACCTTGATCTTGGACTCCGTAGCCTCCAGAACTGTGAAAAATAAATGTTGGTTGTTTAAGCCAAAAAAATTTTTTTTCGTCCTCTCATTATACTTATGTGTTCTGAAACCTTTAATAGAGTTTTCACTTTTATTTTCAATTTAACCCAAATCTATGACTACGGTTAGTCTCCTCATTTATGCATTCATTCATTGAATAAATATTTATTGAGAACACAGTGTGACATACACAGATCTAGGCACTGGAGATACAAAAAGTGCTCCTGTCTTCAATGGCTGACACACTGAGCCATTTCTAGCCCACCACACCTAGCCTTCTTCACACCTGTCCTAGCAAGAGGCCACATTGGATATAGAAAGTGCTCCTGTCTTCAATGGCTGACACACCGAGCCATTTCTAGCCCACCACACCTAGCCTTCTTCACACCTGTCCTAGCAAGAGGCCACATTCTCTTAATGTCCCTAGAGCATGGCCTTCTTTCTCCACCATGGACAGACCACTCATAGCCATAAGGGTGTCATAATCACCACTGTGCCTTTCTGAATTCCTACACCGGAGAGAAATGTTCTTGTCCAAGATAGAGTAATGCTTGGGTCCACAGCCCTAGCCCACTGCATGACTGTGTTTGGACAACAGAATATTCCTATGTCGGTAGAGGACTAGTGTTGCAGTAGAGAGAGCCCAGGCTTTGAGTCAATGAGAACTTGGTTTGAATTCAGATTCCGGTACTCCCCAGCTTTTGACAAGTTACTTAATTTCTGAAGTCCTGTTTCCCTCCTCTGTGAAATGGGTACAGTGACTCCCACACAGCAGGGTGGTCCTGAGAATCAATGATCATACAGCAGGTGCTCAACTCTTGTTTGCGTTCCCAGGGGCACCACTGGAGAATTAATGAGCATGAATTCAACCATCACAGCCTGGGGAAACGAAACCACAACAGCAAATGGCAGTGCTGAGGCCAGGCCTTGTGACAAGCATACCCTGACCATGCACCTGCTGATCATCATCGTTTCCCTGGTCGGGCTGGCAGGAAACGCGGTGGTGCTCTGGCTGCTGGGCTTCCGCATACACAGGAACGCCTTCTCCGTCTACATCCTCCACCTGGCTGCGGCTGACTTCCTCTACCTCTGCTTCCGGATTATACATTCCCTAAGGAAACTCATCGGCTTTTTCCGTCATGTTTCTGTCTCCCTCCCTGGGATCTTCAATGCTATTATAATTTTTCCCTACATCATGGGCCTGAGCATCCTCACCGCCATCAGCATCGAACGCTGCCTGTCTGTCCTGTGCCCCATCTGGTACCGCTGCCACCGCCCCAATCACTTGTCAACTGTCATGTGTGCCCTGCTCTGGGCCCTGTCCCTGCTACTGAGTGTCCTTGAAGGAAATCAGTGTGGTTTCCTGTTTGGGAATTATGACAATGATTGGTGTCAAATAGTAGACTTCATCGCTGCAGGGTGGCTGATTTTTTTATGTATGGTTCTGTGTGGATCCAACCTGGCCCTGCTGGTCAGGATCTTCTGTAGGTCCCGGCGTATGCTACTGACCAGGCTGTATGTGACCATCCTGCTCACAGTGCTGGTCTTCCTCCTCTGTGGCCTGCCTATAGGCCTCTTCTGGTTTCTGTTGTCTTGGATTGAAAATGATTTTTACCCATTCTCTTGTCATTTGTATCGTGTTGCATCTGTTCTGAACGCTGTTAACAGCTGTGCCAACCCCATCATTTACTTCTTCGTTGGCTCCTTTAGGCAGCGGAGGGGCAAGACCCTCAAGCTCATTCTTCAGAGGGCTCTGCAGGACAGTCCGGAGGTGGATGAATGTGAAGGCAGCCTTTCTCAGAATACCCTGGAGCTGTCGGTAAGCGGATGGGGGAAGTGATGAAGAGCCTCTCTCCTTGGTTGGTCAGAGGTGACTTTGAGAGTCAACACTGTCCTGCCACACTTGACAGTTACCAGCTCTTCTCCCAGCCTTAAGCTTCTGAAATGTCTTAGTGATTCCAACATTGATTTATCTTAACCTGGTCTTTTTGTTTTTCTTAGAGAAAGCAATCTGAGATAAGAATGTTTCCATCTTTCTTAACATTCTAAATAAACTTCTCATGTTATCTTCCTCTGAATCTTATTGAATGCTTTTCTTTGCAATTTTCATCACAATGGAAAGAATCCCTGTCCAAAATCATAAATCCCTTTTTAATGACTGTTTTCTACCTGACAGTATAGAAAAAGAAATATTTTTTTCTCTTAGACTATGTTCCCCTGAGAATCATGTCCGGTTCTGTGGTTGGGGCATTGCTGCAGGTAGAAAGCTTGGTTCTGAAAAAATGAGTTCTTCTGCCTCTAAATTTCATTGAGTTCTTTGAGTTTGGGAAAAAAAATAGTGTCCTTAGAGACAGATTCTATTCACATAAGAACAGTCCAGGAGCTTGGGTTTAGGAAAAGTCCTCTGGTGGCATTAGTTTATGACATGGTGACAGGTTGGCCTCTAAATCTCATTGAGTTCTTTGAGTTTGGGAAAAAATAGTGTCCTTAGAGACAGATTCTATTCACATAAGAACAGTCCAGGAGCTTGGGTTTAGGAAAAGTCCTCTGGTGGCATTAGTTTATGACATGGTGACAGGTTGGCCTCTAAATCTCATTGAGTTCTTTGAGTTTGGGAAAAAATAGTGTCCTTAGAGACAGATTCTGTTCACATAAGAACAGTCCAGGAGCTTGGGTTTAGGAAAAGTCCTCTGGTGGCATTAGCTTATGACATGGTGACAGGTTGGCCTTGGGTTCCAGTAATTAAAACCATGGCCTTTACCCTTTAGAACTGAAAAGTGGTTATTTAGGTCTTTCTCTAAACAGTGTACAGTCTAGAATATGTTTCACCAGTTGAAACCCTGGGATACATAGGGATGCAGATCCTGTGAGTTCTAGACTGGAAAGAACTTAGGACCTGGAGTCAGGTCACTTGGAATCTCAAGCTGACTCCATGACTAACCTGGGTCACACGCCCACCCCGGGCAACCCAACCCAGTAGTGAGATTATTCGATTGCCAAATCTGAATCTTATGCCATTTGTGGTCTGTAATATCTTTTCAGAATAAGAAGGTGGGATTTGACTTTACCATAGACATTGACAGAAGGTAACCACCATTGTTAGTCAGGCAGCCTCAGAAGTTCATGTATCTACACAGTGACTATAATCACAATAAGCATATTCTCCTCACCTCTGTAACAGTCACCTGGAATTCGTACAGACTCCTGTGATGCTTTTTCTTCTGTATGATGATGTGGTACATATTGAGCAACAATATTTTCAATACACCAATGCTGGCTAAAATATAGATGGGATTTGGTTGCTGTTCTCCAGGAGCATACAGTAGAGTGTAGAAGAAGAGATCACCTTACACATGCATATCAAAATGGTACAATTAGTCTAAATCTTTCTAGCATGCAAACACAGAGATGGGATCAAAACGGGAGAAGATCCCATTAGTAAGCATGTATGTGGTGGTGAATAGATCAGGAAAGGCTTCTTGAAATACTTGGAATTTGAAGTGGTAACTCTACAATTTACCAAGTATGCACTCTGTGAAACTTTTGTCAGCCACATCAATTTTCTGAAGTTGGCAAATAAAGACAAATAAGGTGACAGATGGAAATGGGAGAAGAGGCAATTCCTAGTGGCATTGTTAATGATGATCAGTGGGTAGATGAGTTTCACTGCTTGTGCCACCGCAAGTACTTGGTCATGGTTGCTAGATCCTTCTTAAGAAAGATCATAAGGCTATAGTGCTGCGAGCAATGAGCAAAGTCTGTCATGGCCTTAAAGTGATAGGTGTTAGCATAAATTTTGCAAAATTAGTTGGAGTCAACTCTGAAATTATCATGTTCAGGAAGGGCCAGCTGGGTCAGCCCAGCAAGTCAAGCCAAAAAGGCAACGTCCTGCCCTCCAGACCCTCCTCCTAGGGATATGTCTAACCCTACATGGTAAAAACACAGATAAAAATAACAGAGCAGTGCAACAAGGAAAAGTGTGGGATTAGAGGAGAAGAGAGAAGCAGTGGCATGTACCCACTTCTCTGGTGAAGTCTTTTTGCCTTCAAAAGGCCCAAACTGGGAGTAGAGAAAATAGTTGATCTTTAAGTTCAACATTTTATTCCTCACATAAAATTTAACTCTAAACTATTTTATAGCCTTGATATGGATGATAGCTTAAGAGTTGATAACCAGTTATCAGAAATCTCATATACAAATTCTGCTTGTCTCCTAGCACCTCTTTTGAAATGAGGTATCTGTAGCATCTTGATATTTAGATTACAACTCCTGTTTCAACATCCTGTTACACATGTGACAGAATGATGCTTATAAATCACAAGTTCTGAAGAGATCAATGAGAGAACTAATGCAGATTGAGACTTTAGGGGAATATATAAAATTTTATTCACCTTTAAAGAGCAGTTGGAAACAAAGAAAACAAAATTTTAATATATGCTTCATTTCAGTGGCAGGTGGGTGAATGCTTACTATGTTACTTACTGGCCTGTTTGCCTGGTTCATGAACTACTCTCCAGCATAACCCCTCCCTTCATTCTTGGTGACTTCAATATCCCTGGTGGTAGTCCATCAAACAAACTGACCTTTCAGTAGTTTTTAAATTTTTCATTCTGAATTAATTATACACAAAAAATAAGTTGCAAAGTAGTACAGCGAGTTCCTGTATACCAATCACACAGCCTACACCAATGGTGATATATTACATAAATTCAGTATATTATCAAAACCAGGAAATTGACCTTGGGACAATACAATTATCTACACTTACATATCCCATTTAGACATCACCTATTTTTGCATGCACTCATCAATTAGCTTTGTATCTCATGAATATTCATAATAAATTTTTTATAAAAGCATGGTAAGTGATTAACAACTATTCTTTTCATTATGTATTTCTGAATAAATGAAAGAATAAATTAAAAATATATAAATAAACAAATAAATGACAAGTAGCTTAATTTGACTGTAGCACGAAGCATAAGAAAGGAAGTCATAGGAGATACTTAAAATTTTGAATATCTACACTAAATGAATAAATAACAAATATCATGAAATGAAGGGAGGAAGAAGGATAATGTTATATGTGCTGAACTCTTTACATCTTATAAGGGAGGTCAATTGACCTGCTTGTTAATACTGATAAATTAAAAATAGAAATATAAATTTACTATTCGGAGCTAACAACAAAAAAAGATAAGAATGGAAAATGTAGTAAGTGGTATCCTCTGAAAAATAGGATTGAGGAAGTATATACTTCTTGTGTACACTTCTCTGTCATTTGGAATTTGAACTGATGACCCTACAATTTACCAGGCAAGTACCCTGTGTCACTTTTGCCAGCCACACCAACATTTAGAGTTAGGCAAGGAAAGATAAACAGAATCCAAACAGATGGAAATAGAAGAGGCAGTTCATAGTGGCATTGGTAATAAAAGCCTAGAGGTTATGTAGAAAATGGTTATCAGTATGCAAATAGGTTTCTAAGTTTAGTGAAATTAGTTGGCATGAACTCTACAATACCATCAAGCCCAGAGAGGGCCAGCCAGGTCAGCCCAGCAGGGCAAACCAAAATGGCAACATCCTGCACTCCTAATCCTACTCCCTCGGATATGTCCAACCCTACAGGGTCAGAAACAAAACATACAAAACGGATGTGGACCAAGGGGAAGTGTGAGGCATAGTGGGGGAAGAGAGAAGTGGAATGCACCCACTTCCCTGGTGAAGGCTTTTTGCCTGCAAAAGGCCCACGTTGGGAGCAGGGGAGATGGTTCAACTTTAAATTAAATTCGACATTTTATTCCTCACTTAAAAATTCAACTCTAATCTTTTTTCTACCTCTGGTGTAGATGATGGATTGAGAGTTGGTAACCAGTTATCAAAAACCTCATATTCAAATTCTGCATGTCATCTTGCACCTTTTTTGAAGTGTAGTATCTTCTATTTTAACATCCTGTTACCTATGTGAGAGAATAGTACACATCCACTTCAGAAGCTCTGAAGATATCAGTAAGAGTAGGGATGCTGGTTTAAGCCTTTGGTTGTATCAGGAAAATTTTATTCATTTTTAAAGAGCGATTGGAAACAAATATGACAAAATCTTAATATGCTTGATTTTGGTTGTAGGTATATAAATGCTTCCAATATACCCTCTTATATTATCTTCTGGCCTATGTACCTGGTTTACAAAATTCTCTCCAGCATAACCCCTGTCCTCATTCTTGCTGACTTCAATATGGATGGAAGTAGTCCATCTACAAACTGACCTTTCAGTAGTTGCCTTGGATTGAGTGTTCCCTCAAAACTTGACCCTCTCTGTGGCAGTGTTAAGAGAATGGGAAATCCTACTGTGGTAATTGAAAGGTGGGACCTTGAAGAGGTGATTAGATTGTAGGACCATGCAGTATGAATGGATTAATAAGGGTGGTCAGGGGCGTGGTTCTGAGAGCTTTAAAAGAAGAGTACACGGGAAACTATCTCTCTCTCTGCTTCACCATTTCTGCCATGTGAGACCCCTGCGTCACTGTCACCATTACCAACACCCTTACCAGATGTGTTCCCTGGACTTTGGACTTCCCAGCCTCCAAAACTATAAGCCTCCAAAACTGTAAATCTTGCTTTCTTACAAATTACCCAGTTCCAAGTATTTTGTTATAAGCAACAGAAACAGACTAATACATAGTTTTTTTTTAACTTTTTTTATTACATACAAACAAAAAGTTGCAAAAATAGTACAGTGAGTTCCCGTATGTTTATCACTTAGCCTACACTGACATTTTACATAAATATAGTGTATTATCAAGACCAGGAAATTGACATTGGGACAATACAATTATCTGCACTACAGATCTTATTTGGATTTCACGAGTTTTTGTATGCACTTATTTGGGGGGAAGGGGCATGCTTTTATGTATAATTCTACATTTTACCACATGTATGGATGCATACAACAACCATCACATTCAAGATATGGAACTCTTTCTTTACCACAAAAGAACTCCCTTGGGCTACCCCTGATAGTCTCACTAACCCTATTCCCCTTCCCAAACGCCTGTCAACCATTAATCTGTTCTTCATC